CCTGCGTTTATGTCTCTTTTTTCTTACATACATAATAGTAATGATCAAAGTCCTAAGACAGCTGCAAAAAGGAAATGTAATTTACAAAAGGTCCTTAGTATAATTCCTGTTATGGAGTTAAGTCTCAAGTCACAGTTTAAAAGGATCAAAAGCAAGGAAGTATTTACTTTTTTCCAACTCACTAGAATGTTTCACTAGTCCAGGACCGAAGGAAGCTATATGCTCAATATTGTATATCTCTTAAATTAAATTGTATCCCTATCCTTATGATTGGCTAACTATAATTCACTCACACTTAAGATACAACAATGTGTTCATCGCTGAAATAGTATGTTCAATTCTAGCATCACCTTACCTTTACCCTCACCACTCTAACCAGATACTGCCCAGACTGAACTGAAAAGAACTAAAAAATGTTTCAGGGATCTCTAGTAGAGTGAAGGGTAAGGAATTGCATTGCCAATCCAAAGAAAAATGGTTCAAATCCATCAGCTGCTCTGTGGCAAAAAGATGCACCATCTCCTCCGGTGAGATTTATCGCTTCTGAAAACTTGCTGAAGGCTCAACTCTGTTGGTCCTAACTTAAAGGTACACAACAATAACAAAAAGCTTTCCAAAAAAGTTTTTTGGTTTTTTGTTTTGTTTTGTTTTGTTTTATAAAAAGCCTTCTTTACAGGTTTCCATGGTCTTACATTCAAGGTCACATGTTCTAGATCTCCATTCTCAACTTGGGGTGCACAGGGGTATGTAGTTATTGCAAGAGGGTTATAATTCAATACTGCCCACCAACCAGATAAATAAATAGTATGCATATGCTACATTTTTGTCAAATTATGTTCTGATTCAAAAAATTACAAATTGTTGCCAAGTGTTACTGATTTATAACAACATTGTGTCGCTGTAGATTTTCTCAATCCACAGGTGCTGAATATATCACTATCACCATGCGAGGACGTTTAATCTTTTCTGACATTATGAAACTGATTGCCTGAGTTAGTTATCAAGAAAAAACACAGGAGTGACAAGAAAAAATATATGTATATAGATTACCTGTCTTTAGATGATGTGGAGTTGTGTGCCTGGGTCCAAGATAATAAAATGCCTTAGAAATATACCGGTGATCAAAACTTTTTTTAAAAAAAGCAGAACCCACTGAATTGAGCTGCTGAAATACTCACAGCAGCCCGGCAGGAAAGAGCAGAACTGCCACACCATTTGCGGGCCTGTGATGGTTACGGAGGCACACTGCCCCTCCTCTAGCCCGTGGAGAGCTTGGTGGGTTCGAACCACCAAGCCTTAGGTTAGCAGCAAAGCACTTAGCCACTACGTAACCAGGGTTACTCACAATAAGCAGAAAAGGGTCAGAAATGGTCTTTTTCCTTAATTCCAAAACTTCAGAAAAAATTTTAATGGTAAGAAATAAAACTTGGCTCCCCATCTGTGTCCCCCAAAACACAAATTGTACACAAAAGGATGGAATCTCTCAATGCCCAGAATTTGTATCCATAGCAGCAGCACTCCAGAAAAGCATCCATTTCAAGCATGATTCAGTGATCCCAGCACTTCCAACACACTTACCTGTCCTGCCATTCAGGAGAATTGGTTTGCCCTCCCGGTCTCCTCTCATGGGGACAACAGTGATCTTATACTCAGTCCCAGGATGCAGACCTGGAAACAAGTCAGAGCAGCATGTGAGTGTAGGCACTGGCCACCCACACTGGCACTTCTCCTTGCCCCAAAACTTCTTTTCTGGAGGGAGAATGAAGGGCTACATTTCTCATCCAAAGATTCTGTTCACCTCAAGGCAAACACAACAACTGTTGGGGAGTCCAATCAAGTCAGATTCTTAACAGCTCTCCACGGCATTCCCAAGGTTACAAATCTTTACTCGGAAAGATTGCCTATCTCCTTCTTGGACAGCATGAGAAGACTTGGTGGCTGGTGGATTCAAACTACTGACAAGTTGGACCCAACACTTTATGCACTACACCACCAGGGTCTCTACAAAGATTGATAAAGAGTTGTTGTTGTTGTTGTTGTTGTTGTTGTTATATGCCATCTAGTCGCTTGCAACTCATAGCAACGTTATGTACAAGAGCCCTAAACCCTGCTCTGTCCTGTGCCAATCTCACTGTCTCCAACACATCCACTGCCACTACTCCAATCACTGAATCGATCTATCTCGTTGAGGGTCTTCCTCTCCTGTGCTGTCCCTCCACTCTCCCAAACATAATGTCCCTCTCCAAGGACTAGTCCCTCCTTGCAACATGTCCAAAAATATGTCAGATGAAGCTTCAGAATCCTTGACTCCAA